ATGAACGAGCCTGCCACCAGGGGAACAGATGAACGTGTCTGCCACCAGGGAACAGATGAACGTGTCTGCCACCAGGGAACAGATGAACGTGTCTGCCACCAGGGAACAGATGAACGTGTCTGCCACCAGGGGAACAGATGAACGAGCCTGCCACCAGGGAACAGATGAACGAGTCTGCCACCTGTCTGCCACCAGGGAACAGATGAACGAGTCTGCCACCAGGGAACAGATGAACGTGCCTGCCACCAGGGGAACAGATGAACGAGCACCAGGAACAGATGAACGAGCCTGCCACCAGGGGGACAGATGAACGAGTCTGCCACCAGGGAACAGATGAACGAGTCTGCCACCAGGGAACAGATGAACGTGTCTGCCACCAGGGAACAGATGAACGTGCCTGCCACCAGGGGAACAGATGAACGTGTCTGCCACCAGGGAACAGATGAACGAGTCTGCCACCAGGGAACAGATGAACGAGCCTGCCACCAGGGAACAGATGAACGAGCCTGCCACCAGGGGAACAGATGAACGAGCCTGCCACCAGGGAACAGATGAACGAGCCTGCCACCAGGGAACAGATGAACGAGTCTGCCACCAGGGAACAGATGAACGTGTCTGCCACCAGGGAACAGATGAACGTGCCTGCCACCAGGGAACAGATGAACGTGCCTGCCACCAGGGAACAGATGAACGAGTCTGCCACCAGGGAACAGATGAACGTGCCTGCCACCAGGGAACAGATGAACGTGTCTGCCACCAGGGAACAGATGAACAGGTGAACACTATACAAAACATGGACACATTATATGGCCACCACCTCTCTCATTCCTTAGAACATGTGGAGCAAGAACACTGTTCTTGTTCTACATGTTCTTGTTCTACATGTTCTTGTTCAACATGTTCTTGTTCTACATGTTCTTGTTCTACATGTTCTTGCCTTTGAACTCCCATCATTCCCTTCATCTCTCTCGGGTGAATACGAATTGATGAAGAACCAAAGCAAATCATCTTTCCCATATAATTTATTTTTTTAATGAAGGAGAACAGGCTGATGCTCATCAACTCATTGATGAGCATGAGTTGATGATACACAGTTTGGTCAAAACCTGGATCATCCACTCTGGGAAAGTCTTGAACAATCTGTGAAGAATATCTGATACTGTGTAAGTGATTATCTCTAATCTGTGTGATTATCTCTAATCTGTGTAAGTGATTATCTCTAATCTGTGTAAGTGATTACCTATAATCTGTGTAAGTGATTATCTCTAATCTGTGTAAGTGATTATCTCTAATCTGTGTAAGTGATTATCTCTAATCTGTGTAAGTGATTATCTCTAATCTGTGTAAGTGATTATCACTAATCTGTGTAAGTGATTACCTCTAATCTGTGTGTGTGATTATCTCTAATCTGTGTAAGTGATTATCTCTAATCTGTGTAAGTGATTATCTCTAATCTGTGTAAGTGATTATCTCTAATCTGTGTAAGTGATTATCTCTAATCTGTGTGTGTGATTATCACTAATCTGTGTAAGTGATTATCTCTAATCTGTGTGTGTGATTATCACTAATCTGTGTAAGTGATTATCTCTAATCTGTGTAAGTGATTATCACTAATCTGTGTAAGTGATTATCTCTAATCTGTGTAAGTGATTATCACTAATCTGTGTAAGTGATTATCTCTAATCTGTGTAAGTGATTATCACTAATCTGTGTAAGTGATTATCACTAATGTAAGTGATTATATTTAATCTAAACGTACTTTCTAGTCCTAATTTCTTGTGAGAAGTAAATTTTCGTCAAGGAGGAGAGGGAGAAGAGGGGAACAGATGAAACAGGGGATAGATTGAAAGAGGTGGAAAGGGGGGGGGGGGGAGGGATCAAGTCACCCCTTCCCTAGTTACAAACGGAGCCCAAGAGCCGGAGCCCGCCCCAGAAGGCAAGAGGAACAACCAGGTGAAGCCCCCTCCCCTCCCCCCCCCCCCCCCACCACACAAAGAACCAAACACGTTCCTCCCCGCCGCCCGTCCTCCAGCACAGAGAGGAAGGAAAGAGATAGTGTGTACCGGGCCCCGGGGGCGCCGCGCCCGCACTGGGGAGTCGCCCCAGGAAGTCCGGCGGTGGTGGGGGGCGTCTGGCAGGGGGCGGGGCGCGCCTGGCGCGGGGCACCTGGCGGGGGGCGTCTGGCGGGGGGCGCCTGGCGGGGGGCGGGGGGCGTCTGGCGGGGGGCGGGGGGCGCCTGGCGGGGGGCGGGGGGCGTCTGGGGAGATAGCAATGCCGCTGTGCTTGCGTCCTTTAGTAAGAGGAGATGTGGTGGAGAAATTATGGCCAAGGGGATAGAGACGGGGGTGGAGGAGAGTGGATGGATGGATGTGTAGGGGGAGGGAGATGGATGTGAAAGAACACGTTAAAGAACATGCTACATTGTTCTCCAACACACCATGGTCTAGCCTATTCACACATTTAACAAGACCTCGACGCCACCACATAACTCGGCCACCACAAACGCAAAGTTCTCACAAGTTTCAAGGCAGAACATTATACAATTCTACATGTCACTGAGATGAACTTGAACTGTTGAACTTAGTGGGCGAGTGACGTCGACAGGGCGACTGACGTCGACAGGGCGAGTGACGTCGACAGGGCGAGTGACGTCGACAGGGCGAGTGACGTCGACAGGGCGAGTGACGTCGACAGGGCGAGTGACGTCGACAGGGCGAGTGACGTCGACAGGGCGACTGACGTCGACAGGGCGAGTGACGTCGACAGGGCGAGTGACGTCGACAGGGCGAGTGACGTCGACAGGGCGAGTGACGTCGACAGGGCAACTGACGTCGACAGGGCGAGTGACGTCGACAGGGCGAGTGACGTCGACAGGGCGAGTGACGTCGACAGGGCAACTGACGTCGACAGGGCGAGTGACGTCGACAGGGCGAGTGACGTCGACAGGGGGAGTGACGTCGACAGGGCAACTGACGCCGACAGGGCGAGTCAGATCAGACTCAGAAAAAAGCTGAGTGGGCTGCGTAATTGCTAGACCTTCAGCAAGAGGCATATATGCGCGCATTGGAAAGACTAGAGTGGCTAGGAGAGCACTTCACAAAGCAAGTGTGTTCAACACTTCCAGCACTAGGAAGAGATGAGGATAAGGATTTGGGATGGGACAGGGGGAAGAAAGCCATGGTACCCAACCACTTGGACGGTCAGGGATTGAACGCCGACCAGCATGAAGCTAGACTGTAGCTCTAACAAACCCCAAGTAGTTGGGGATATGCATAGATAAGGTACCAATGTATACCACGGAGATACCAATGAATACGAGGGCTATGTATAATAATAATAATAATTTTTATCTGCAAGACGGTACAATGGGTTGGTGAGGTTACTTATGATTGGTATTTGTCCATTCATGGAAAGTCACTAGTACACGCAGCGTTTCGGACAAGTCTTTAATGTATCAGGTAAGATGAAAAGGAACATTGTAGCAACATTTTATACCAACGTATAACTTACTATATATATTGGCAGAGGTGATTACACTGATAAAGATATACCAGTGTGTGTGTGTGTGTGTGTGTGTGTGTGTGTGTGTGTGTACTCACCTATATGTACTCACCTATATGTGCTTGCAGGATCGAGCATTGACTCTTGGATCCCGCCTTTCGAGCATCGGTTGTTTACAGCAATGACTCCTGTCCCATTTCCCTATCATACCTGGTTTTAAAATTATGAATAGTATTTGCTTCCACAACCTGTTCCTGAAGTGCATTCCATTTTCCCACTACTCTCACGCTAAAAGAAAACTTCCTTACATCTCTGTGACTCATCTGAGTTTCAAGGTTCCATCCATGTCCCCTCGTTCTGTTACTATTCCGTGTGAACATTTCGTCTATGTCCACTCTGTCAATTCCTCTGAGTATCTTATACGTTCCTATCATGTCCCCCCTCTCCCTTCTTCTTTCTAGTGTCGTAAGGCACAGTTCCCTCAGGCGCTCTTCATACCCCATCCCTCGTAGCTCTGGGACGAGTCTCGTTGCAAACCTCTGAACCTTTTCCAGTTTCATTATATGCTTCTTCAGATGGGGACTCCATGATGAGGCGGCATACTCTAAGACTGGCCTTACGTAGGCAGTGTAAAGCGCCCTAAATGCCTCCTTACTTAGGTTTCTGAATGATGTTCTAACTTTTGCCAGTGTAGAGTACGCTGCTGTCGTTATCCTATTAATATGTGCCTCAGGAGATAGATTAGGTGTTACGTCCACCCCCAGGTCTCTTTCACGCGTCGTTACAGGTAGGCTGTTCCCCTACAGGTAGGCTGTGTGTGTGTGTGTGTGTGTGTGTGTGTGTGTCTGTGTGTGTGTGTGTGTGTGTGTCTGTGTGTGTGTGTGTGTGTTTGTACTCACCTAGTTGTGCTTGCGGGGGTTGAGCTCTGGCTCTTTGGTCCCGCCCCTCAACTGATGTACAGGTTCCTGAGCCTACTGGGCTCTATCATAACTACACTTGAAACTGTGTATGGAGTCAGCCTCCACCACATCACTACCTAATGCATTCCATTTATCAACCACTCTGACACTAAAAAAACAACTAATGTCTTTAGGCTCACTTTGGCACTTAATTTCCACCTGTCCTCTAGTGCGTGTGCCCCTTGTGTTAAATAAACTGTCTTTGTCTACCCTATCAATGCCTTTGAAAATCTTCTATGTGGTGATCATGTGTGTGTATGATTGCATGCGCGCGTGGGCGCGTGTGCGTGTTAGTGTTATTGGATTTTCCTCCTCCGCCCATGAATAATGCAGCCCTCCCTCAATAGTGGAGTGTTAGAAAACGGAAAGAAAGAATGCCATTAGAGGGACGACCCAAGAAAATATCCGCCGACACTACTTTTAAAGAAAAACTAATGTGAAAAGTGTCTCAAAACACATATAAGAGATGTGTTTCACATTCTACTCATGTAATGGAAAAATGATTTTCCATGGCGCTCCATTATACGATTTTCTCACGAGATGAGCAGCAGCATCTGTGGGAAGATGCTGCTTCATCTCCCGGTCATGATTCATCTCCCGGTCATGCTTCATCTCCCGGTCATGCAGGAGGATGCAGAGCCGGCCCGCCAGAGACGGTCCGCCAGAGACGGTCCACCAGAGACGGTCCGCCAGAGACGGTCCGCCAGAGACGGTCCACCAGAGACGGTCCGCCAGAGACGGTCCACCAGAGACGGCCCGCCAGAGACGGTCCACCAGAGACGGTCCGCCAGAGACGGTCCGCCAGAGACGGTCCACCAGAGACGGTTCACCAGAGACGGTCCACCAGAGACGGTCCGCCAGAGACGGTCCGCCAGAGACGGTCCACCAGAGACGGTCCACCAGAGACGGTCCGCCAGAGACGGTCCACCAGAGACGGTCCACCAGAGACGGTCCACCAGAGACGGTCCGCCAGAGACGGTCCGCCAGAGACGGTCCGCCAGAGACGGTCCACCAGAGACGGTCCACCAGAGACGGTCCACCAGAGACGGTCCGCCAGAGACGGTCCACCAGAGACGGTCCGCCAGAGACGGTCCACCAGAGACGGTCCGCCAGAGACGGTCCACCAGAGACGGTCCGCCAGAGACGGTCCGCCAGAGACGGTCCACCAGAGACGGTCCACCAGAGACGGTCCGCCAGAGACGGCCCACCAGAGACGGTCCGCCAGAGACGGTCCGCCAGAGACGGTCCACCAGAGACGGCCCACCAGAGACGGTCCGCCAGAGACGGTCCGCCAGAGACGGCCCACCAGAGACGGTCCACCAGAGACGGTCCACCAGAGACGGTCCGCCAGAGACGGCCCGCCAGAGCCGGCCCACCAGAGCCGGCCCACCAGAGTCGGCCCACCAGAGACGGCCCACCAGAGACGGCCCACCAGAGACGGCCCACCAGAGACGGCCCACCAGAGCCGACCCACCAGAGCCGGCCCACCAGAGCCGGCCCACCAGAGACGGCCCACCAGAGACGGCCCACCAGAGCCGGCCCACAAGAGCCGGCCCACCAGAGACGGCCCACCAGAGACGGCCCACCAGAGCCGGTCCACCAGAGACGGCCCACCAGAGCCGGCCCACCAGAGCCGGCCCACCAGAGACGGCCCACCAGAGACGGCCCACCAGAGACGGCCCACCAGAGACGGCCCACCAGAGACGGCCCACCAGAGACGGCCCACCAGAGACGGCCCACCAGAGACGGCCCACCAGAGCCGGTCCACCAGAGCCGGCCCACCAGAGACGGCCCACCAGAGCCGGCCCACCAGAGCCGGTCCACCAGAGCCGGCCCACCAGAGCCGGCCCATTAGAGCCGGCCCACCAGAGACGGCCCACCAGAGACGGCCCACCAGAGACGGCCCACCAGAGACGGTCCACCATATATGGACCACCACAGACGTACCCTCCACCTCCTTCCTGGTATAACAGTTCCACCCGCGTCCCACAGTTGATCCAGTGTTCCACAGTTCCAATCTGTTCCACAAGCTCTCTCTTGCGCTGGTTTTTAAATCATTATTAATTCAAAATTAAAATTAAAATCAAGAGGCTACACCGATGGTTAGCCTGGTATACAGCTCTGGTATACTCAACACGTCTGGTGTACTCAACACGTGTGGTATACTCAACACGTGTGGTGTACTCAACATGTCTGGTATACTCAACACGTGTGGTGTACTCAACACGTCTGGTATACTCAACACGTCTGGTATACTCAACACGTGTGGTGTACTCAACATGTCTGGTATACTCAACACGTGTGGTGTACTCAACACGTCTGGTATACTCAACACGTCTGGTATACTCAACACGTCTGGTATACTCAACACGTGTGGTATACTCAACATGTCTGGTATACTCAACATGTCTGGTATATTCAACACGTCTGGTATACTCAACACGTGTGGTGTACTCAACACGTCTGGTATACTCAACACGTGTGGTGTACTCAACACGTCTGGTATACTCAACACGTCTGGTATACTCAACACGTCTGGTATACTCAACACGTCTGGTATACTCAACACGTGTGGTGTACTCAACACGTGTGGTGTACTCAACACGTCTGGTATACTCAACACGTGTGGTGTACTCAACACGTGTGGTGTACTCAACACGTCTGGTATACTCAACACGTCTGGTATACTCAACACGTGTGGTATACTCAACACGTCTGGTATACTCAACACGTCTGGTATACTCAACACGTGTGGTGTACTCAACACGTGTGGTGTACTCAACACGTCTGGTATACTCAACACGTGTGGTGTACTCAACACGTGTGGTGTACTCAACACGTCTGGTATACTCAACACGTGTGGTGTACTCAACACGTGTGGTGTACTCAACACGTCTGGTATACTCAACACGTGTGGTGTACTCAACACGTGTGGTGTACTCAACACGTCTGGTATACTCAACACGTCTGGTATACTCAACACGTCTGGTATACTCAACACGTGTGGTGTACTCAACACGTGTGGTATACTCAACACGTCTGGTATACTCAACACGTCTGGTATACTCAACACGTGTGGTATACTCAACACGTCTGGTATACTCAACACGTGTGGTATACTCAACACGTGTGGTATACTCAACACGTGTGGTATACTCAACACGTCTGGTATACTCAACACGTCTGGTATACTCAACACGTGTGGTATACTCAACACGTCTGGTATACTCAACACGTGTGGTATACTCAACACGTCTGGTATACTCAACTATATTCCATAGAATATCATACACAAATATAAACACGTACCAACATTAAACCAATTTAATAAGGCCCAGGATTCACCAATCATTTACACAACCACTGACGAAACCGCTACATCTTTCCACAATCATGGCGACTTTGTTTACAATTATTAAACAGTTTGTGAGTTCCCAAGAACTACGAGGTCGTTAACAACAATAAAAACATTCGACTGTAAAGGTTCGAAGCTTCTAAACTGTTCAATAAACGTAAATAAAGCCTCCAGGATTGTAGAAAGATGCACAGGTTTCGTAAATGCTTCTGTGGATCCTGACCCCAGGTTATGGCAGCACAACATTAACATTTAAATATCTTTTTGTAATGGTTTTGTTTGTCGTGTGGTGAGGTACAGACATGTACTTACCTAGTTGTGCATGCGGGGGTTGAGCTCTGGCTCTCTGGTCCCGCCTCTCAACTGTCAATCAACTGCTAGTTGATTTCTCGAGGGTTCAAAGCAGGAGCCTGTACGAAACTCCAGACACCCAGCAAAACGCCTTTATAGACACGAATATCGTCTACGTCTTTACTCGCTCACTTGGGCTCTGTCAGCTCCAACGATCTCAGTGTATAGGCAAGACGACAACAACTCTTTATTTGCACTTGACAATGCGCAAATCACAAGACTCAGTAACAAATTCACATTGTCTTTCCGCACAACCAAACCTTCCCAAGAGACATCTTGACCAACAACATTGAAGTAATCAAAGACATGTCGATAATAGCACACTTATATATATATATATATATATATATATATATATATATATATATATATATATATATATATATATATATATATATGTATATATATATGTATAAATATAATATAATATATATATATATATATATATATTGTTACGATAACCTCCTTCAAGAGAGATTTGGCCTGCTCTTTCCTATCATGTCACTTCAGTACATGTACAACATCTAGATACTACAAGCAAGTGTAGTACATATTGAGTAAAATACGTTTTGCCAGGCGCATACGTATCCGACACTCGCGCTCCACCTCCTCCCCCCCCCCCCTCCATCGTCGCCGATCTCCAAACTACCATTTCCAGCCAGCCCGCTTCTGATTGGTGAATCGACGTCTGCACCACTGCACTTCAGCGCCATCTACCTAGCCGATGTCTGGGCCTGTACCAGCCATTGGAGTCAGAATATCCTGTGCTCTCAAAGCTGACACAACCATCTGATATACGCTCTGTCTATTAGTGGATGTTCTCAGCCCGCGCTTTATTCTCAGCACCTGTTAATTTCATTTTTGCCTTTAACCATTTTAGAGTAACGTCACTACTATTTTATTTTATGCTATTTTTTTACTTTATAATCTTGTTAGTTTGCACTGTACATAGCCAAGGAATTGTCTTATTCATAATTTGTTTTCAATTTAATTAAAGTTTCATTGTTTATACTATTTGTTTTGCCTTACTTTGCCACAGGACACAACAGCTACGCAGTCATTTTTTTTTTAATGTGATAGGCATTGACACCAGCCATTGGGAGGACTGCCGAACACCTACACTTCTTTTCTCCATCACAATATCTAATATATATATATATATATATATATATATATATATATATATATATATATATATATATATATATCAACAGCACAGAAACACTAATGACAGGACGAAAGTTGAAGTATATGGAACAGCAAACCAGAAGACTGTAAGGCTGGCAGAGCTGATCCAAAGTAATAATATAACTGGTATGGACATACCTGTGTGGAGGTGGCGGATGAGAGCTCGCTGGCCGGCCCGCTCCTGGCTCAGGAACCGCACTCTGTGGGGAGAGGTCAGGTCATCAGTGGCGTCTCCCCGTGCAGCAGCATCAAGCAAGATAACATTGTCAATACAGTTTAAAATCTTTAATATCAAGGAAGGATAATCTACTATACTTTTGTTTGATTAAAATCAACACACACACACTAGAAGAGGAGCCTGCAATGTCTAAGATAATCTCTCACACCATCCCTATTCAACCTATTTCCCCCCCCCCCTCTCCCTAGGTCCTGCCCTCATCCTTATCTTCACTTCCCCTCACCAATTCTTCCCCTTTTCCCCAGCCTCCCCCTCTCCCCTCCCCCATCTCCCTACCTTTTCCTCTCCAACCTCGAACAAATAGACATTTCCATTCCTAAAGTAAATGATGCACATGCGCGGGTAAACGGCGGGAGGCCAAGAACACTTTGGTCGTAACATGCTCAATTTCACGCAATTTTTGTACACTTCATATAAATGAACCCAACACAGTTATTATTCTATATTTCGTAAAACATTTGCCATAGGCCTACCTCGCCCAGCCTATGTCTATGCCATACTCTCTTATAGTGTATGTAGAGCGCCTTCAGCTGAGTGGACAGCGCTTCGGATTCGTAGTCCTGAGGTTCCGGGTTCGATCACCGGTGGAGGCGGAGACAAATGGGCAAAATGTTTCTTTCACCCTGATGCCCCTGTTACCTAGCAGTAAATAGGGACCTGGGAGTTAGCTGCTACGGGCTGCTTCCTGGGGAGGTGTAACAAAAAGGAGGCCTGGTCGAGGACCGGGCCGCGGGAACGCTAAGACCCGAAATCATCTCAAGATAACCTTAAGATAGATGTATATATATTTGTGTGTGTGTGTGTGTGTAAATCACGAAAATTAACACGCGATGAACAATGTGACAATGTCAGTCCTTGAAGGAGGGATTTAAACAGGAAATTTCCTTAAGTTCTTCCGTATTTAATAATACATTTTCAGAAGGATAGATTTACAGTTCAGTAGGGTTCTTATCTTGAGGTTATCTTGAGATGATTTCGGGGCTTTAGTGTCCCCGCGGCCCGGTCCTTGACCAGGCCTCCACCCCCAGGAAGCAGCCCGTGACAGCTGACTAACACCGAGATACCTATTTTACTGCTAGGTAACAGGGGCATAGGGGTTATAGAAACTCTGCCCATTGTTTCTCGCCGGCACCTGGGATCGAACCCAGAACCACAGTATCACAAGTCCAGCATGCAGTCCGCTCGGCCGACCGGCTCCCCAAATCTATGTTATTTAGTCAACATTGCTCTCAACACTCAGGTCTGATAGGAGAGAAACCACCGACTCTCAAAGACCTGAAAGCACCAGCGTAAAAAGTTATGATTTGTTAAGATCTGCGGACTATGTATCTGGGACGCAGAGAACGTCGACCAGAGAGTGGGCGACACAGTGGCTGCCAGGATCAGGCTCAGCTACCGTTGGCTGTGTCAGGGGGGGATATACAAGGGGCGTATCTCCCAACCCTCAGCACTCCAGGTGCAATATTAAAGCAAGAACGGGGGTCATGCTGTCACACAATACATTATTGAGCATCCAGTCATTAGACTCTTCAAACCCTGCGATATGAGGCACCTGGAGGTTTGTAATTACTTAATTCACTCTGGTGTTCTGGCCTCAGGTTCCTCAGACCCCTGGCACTGTAGTCATCAGGTTCCTCACACCCCTGGCACTATAGTCATCAGGTTCCTCACACCCATGGCACTATAGTCATCAGGTTCCTCAGACCCCTGGCACTGTAGTCATCAGGTTCCTCACACCCCTGGCACTGTAGTCATCAGGTTCCTCACACCCCTGGCACTGTAGTCATCAGGTTCCTCACACCCCTGGCACTGTAGTCATCAGGTTCCTCACACCCCTGGCACTGTAGTCATCAGGTTCCTCACACCCCTGGCACTGTAGTCATCAGGTTCCTCACACCTCTGGCACTGTAGTCATCAGGTTCCTCACACCCC